AAAAAAAATGAGCGTCTACATACTTCAATCTTTTATTCGAATCTGAATACAGAAGGTTCGAAGATGCCGTGATGAATTTTTCCAGATCATTTCGGAGACCTTCACTCGCTGGAAAATTTGTGAACGTCGTGTTTGTCACTGAATTACTGTTTATTAATATTGTTTGTTAAGCTACGTACGTGGATTATCTTTTAAAATTCGCCTTGCTGTTTCCTTATAATTAATGAAACTTACTAATTATATTTATATAAATTAGGGACTAGGTAATAAATGAAATAGCTTCTGAAAGGCTTCGTATTGAACGTACGGTATTTTCAGCACACATCAAGTTCTATTTTATTTGCACGTTAATGGGAGTGCTTCAACACCGTTTCTCCGTTCTTTTCCGATCTCGCTGGATTTCTTCTCTGCTTCTCTTTACGACTTGTAAACCGTTTTCTCTCCCCTTTCCCGTTCCCATTCACCCTCTCACCTGCGTTATTAACCTTTTTCAAGTAGTTAGAAAACAGGTAGAGAGTCAGGCATAAAAGCGTTTACGGGCTGGATATTATTATTTCACCACTCGTTCCCCACCCCCTCGAGCAATATGGCGTGCACCCTTAAGAGGAGGCTTAACGTTAGTGAAACTTCAACAGCGTTTCCTAGGGGGGCCGATTTAATTAAATTTATGCCGTGTAGTGTTTCCGTACACACCGCGGTAAACGAAGCCGCGACCCTCGCCGTGAAAGTGAAATGTTAATTATCCTCGATGTAACAGTCCATTTAATTTCTCCGAAATTTCACTGGAGCCGCTTACTACCCCGAACACGAGGAGCAGAAGGAACTTGGCTTTGTGTTTCACTAAATCGTGTCTTGTTCGCCTAGAATTTACCGACGAGTACTCATCGAGCTTTTATCGGTTAGCTTAAAGAGGAGCATTATATAGTTAAGGGGGTATCTCGACTGTGAAAAATAGTATCTTCTTTCCGTCTTCTTGTTGAATAGCTCGTTAATTTCGTTCGTTAATTGCTTTTTACGAAAGCAGATTCCCTCGGAACAGGGAATTAACTTCGTGGAAAGGAACAAAGAAATCAACCTCGTAATTTCATTCAGAATTTGATTCAGAACAGAGTTTCAGAAGGTAGAAACTTGTTTTCACT